ATTCATCGCCCTGATGACGGAGGCAGTATGACCTCTGAAACGTTGGTTAACATCGACCAGACTACACAGCGCAACAACCCAGAAGACAGAAATCTTCATACTCACCGCTGTGAAAACCTCAAATCTTACATAAACTAGAGCTCCTGCCCTAAATATAAGTAGTAATATTATAAAGATTTACAAATTGTATTCCGATTTGTGTAACGCTAAAGGATAATATAGTTTAACGTTAAATCCGATTTTAGCAAGTTTCGCCACATACTGTTTTTACAAGCTTGTATTGGAATCCGACACATACACTGTTTTTCTTGTGTTCAACCCTACAGAATTTCTTTAAACCGCAGTTGACATAGAGTTTTGGCTTTCAGCCTTCGTACATCACATCCAGTAATCTCTACTCTTCAGCTGTCATTCTAAGTCGTACGAATTCTACCTTGAATTAAACTTCGCTGTTCTTGTGTCATCGCGATTGACGTAGTCTGAATGACGCCCCCTTTTATTGACATCACACGCCCTAATATTTCACTCAAACGCTTGTTGTCTTGGAATCTTTGGTGAAAAGTTGTTTGCTAAATCCTGGCCTTCCGTGCTATAACAACTTCGGCTCACGAAGAAATTTTAAGTGTCGTGAAGGCCGCTAATAAAGACGTGAAGGTAGAACGCTATGCAAGAATATTTGGGGGGGGGGGCACTTCCATTGTCTGCTGTCAACTGTCTTTTTACGTTAAGGCTGTGGATGACATACTAACTGTTAGAAGAAAACTGTGTGTCAGCAGCTTCAGTTCAAAATTATTTAAATTCATTTTGTCAAACGTTTAGTGTAATTCAATGTAAAAGTTAAGATGCAGGCTGTATTGTCACACTCGAGTCGTTATCATCTTGTTGCTAGGTCGCTGCTCACTCCAGTCGCTCAAATGCTGTGCAGGTGCGAGTTTGGTGCATTCACGATCAGAACGAGTGTTAATTCTCGAAATCGTTTGCTGCTGTTCGCGAAGCATTTGGCAATGCTTATCCCGACAAGGAAGTACCGAATAACACATCGACTTTTAACAGAATTTCAGGACACAGCAAGCGTTCAGCGTTGGACATGTTTATCTTCTGTAAAGCTGGCATATTATTATTATATTACGTCCTTTTTTCCAAGTTACACTTAGCCTAAGACTTGCAGTACAGTGTGGCAATCACAAAATATATCTGTGTTTCATAGAAATTGCTTATCTTTTGATGTGTAAAATATTTTCACATAATAATTCAAGCTGTCAGATATTTACAAACTGTATTAAAGTGACTGCTGAGTCTATACATTTTCGCTGTATGCATCACCATGGCAAATCTGGAAGACTCTTGATTAAATATCACGTCATTCGTAATTTATTTACAGACGACAGCACTTGTTAACGTCTATACTGTCGGCAGTCTGAATTTAATAACTTACATTTTATACTGCCACTGGTACATTAATATTTCCGAATACCAGAAATGTATTACACAAATGTGTCATTCCGTATCGTCATTAGCATGTCGCTACTAACGTATGCACACACACACACCCCTCCCACATACACACACACAATGATTTTTGCTTTTGTCTGAAACAGGAAACGGGGACTGTCATGAATTTCACATGTTTATCATCTGTGCTTCTGTATGTATGTGTAGAATTCGGCATGCAACGGCTGAATTACATGAATAATGTGCGCATGGCATCACTAAGCGAAATCAGCATTACAACACACAACGATAGAAATAATTCCATTGGACAGAGTTATAAAATTTCAGGAAATATTTAAGACGAAAAGACAAACAGAAACCTGCCTTTGTAATTATAAAGGCCCATACGGAACGCTGATGACGGAAACAAAGAGCTTTAAATGTATTTATCTCGTAAATATTGGATCAGTCACGTTGAATTAAAGAAATTAAACGAAATAATTCAGCTATTTTTTTATTTATTACCACAATCTGCTCAGATCTGAAAATCAACATCCAGTTTTCGTAATCTTTAACAGTATTTAGCGTATTCATAAATGATGCAATGTTACATGTTCAGATATAAATATTATTAGAATGTGAACAAATTAATATATAATTGCGTGTTATTCTGAACTTGCTCCTGCAACAGCTTGTGTCTGACATTATTATCTGGGATTCTTGTGTCTTAAGGTAGGGTTTCAAAGTTAGTTGCATGTGTAGCATTCTTACGTAAATCAGCAGACGAGATAAGAATTTTGATGTTTTCAACTCTTTTGAATTAATGGAAACAAATGGGCTTTTAGTAGCTAGTAACACATTAAGAGACGGTTTTGAGGGCTTAGTTACGAGTAGTCTCTGGCAGGATGTGGCCTTAGGACCGCTAGTTTGATCACAATGTTTTAAATCACCTCTTTTCATTCGGTGTTTAGATTAACATTTAAGGATTTATTTTCTCTCCCTTAGATGTACATGAAAAATCTATTAAATTACAGTGTATCTGCTCATACGTGTCTTGTGCTTGTATGTCATTGTTAAATTACAGTGTATCTTCACATACGTGTCTTGTGCTTGTATGTCATTGGACTGTTAATTAATATGGCTGGTTTCCTGTAGTTAACAGATTGTTTCGAAAAAGAAATACTGGCCTATGTCCACTTCACATTGTTCCACGTGTAGGAATCTGGTTTGATCATAAGAAAACAGATCTTCGCATGTCAGGTGTTAAATATGTTTCAATCCGTGACATATTAGGTTCTCACTGTGGCGAGAATGAAGATGGTTGTCTTCTGAGATGTTGTGTCTTGTGGTCTGATAAAAGACTGCCGACGTCATAAGCAGAAACCTCTGAAACGTCGGTAGACGTCTACCAGATCTGTTGAGTAGATCCGTTTGTGTGCTTCCGTGTACTTGTGCCTTCCACTCAGTCAGCAGTTTCTGTGTGTTTTGTTGCAGACCCAAGTATTCCATTCGGGAGAACCGCTCGACGTACAAAGTGTTCATGTGGCTGATGATCCGTAGTTTCGGCCGCTCAGACATCGGCACCTACAACTGCGTGTCGACGAACTCGCTGGGCCGAGCAGAGGGCACCCTGAGACTGTACGGTGAGTCCGACCTCTAGATGGATGAAGACAACTATTATTGACTGAGTAAATTTAAATTTGAACATCTCATTTCTTTAGGTATCCTCTGAAGTTTGAATGACAAATGCAAGCCAACTGGTCTGTAACACTGGACGTCCATTTGTGCACTATTGTGGGAGGGGAGGGGAGGGATGGAACAAAATGGCAGAGAAATTCGCGTAATTTTTATTTTGGAACATTTATTAGAGTTGTTGAACGAAATATTGATGATGTTTCGATAGTATGACCTAGAAACTGATCATTCGCCGTGCACCATCTCCATAAAATTTTGATCGTAAATAAATTATGTAAGGAGGGAATTGTGCCACGGTGGTCTAGCGGTTAGAAGGCTGGCCTTGTAATCCTGGGGTCTCGGGTTCGATTCCCGGCGGTGCCCGAATTTATAACTTGTGTTGGGCAAGGCCGTGGTCTAGGCAACACAGAGTTTTCCTCCGGGGGCTTCCCCGGTTTCTCCGTGGCATCCCAACAATTACTCCATTCACACACAGTAGAAGGCAATGGCAAACCACTTCTGGATCATCTGCCAAGAACGTATATGAACAGGTCCCAATCCGAGAAAAGGATGGAAGGATCATGTTCATATGGACCTGTCGGCAGACAGAACACTACAAAAATAAAGGAGGGAATTAGAAAATTCTACATCTTCGATTTGAGTGTTTACCTTGTTCCAGGTATAATATGTCCATATTGAATATTGTGCGAATATAAGCAAGTTACAGAACACTTAAGTTTATCTGCTTTGACAATTTCACTTTAAGGGATACTACATAAGTGTGGGAACTTTAACACTTTTCTCGCCATTATTCTTTTCTCCGTAAATTTCATCATGTCTTCCAACATTCTCCTGAACGACGTCACATTCACATACTCAGCCTGTGAATACAAAGAAGTGTAATTTGACCTTTCCACTTCTAACCGTAATCCTGAGCGTTGTGACAATAATTCAGCGCCTCTGCTACAGAAAGAAACATCCAAATGAATCCCAAAACATGACGTATATGCCTTTCCTGATCCTGAATTCTATTGTTTGAATGGCTGGTTCGCCACTGTGAATAACTGGTCTCTTGATGGTGTTGGAGCAGAGAATAATTTGACGCAAATTCGCCAGCTACGAGAACAACTACTTCTGAATACCAAACTGGCTGGCCGCTATATTTTATGTTAATTTAGCACAGTGCTTCTTCAAACACTCTGTCCCTTTCCAGTAACGCAGTGTTTTCTGTGTTTTTGTTTCTCGCAGTTCATGCAGATGGCAAACATCCTAAAGCTCTCTCTAGCTGTCTCCTTTATTTTACCCAGTTCTGAATATTTATCTCTTGTCACGTGGTATAAGGGGCTCGTG